CTCGCTGACTGAATTCAGCTCTCACATGAATTCTCTCATCTTAAACAACAAAGTGCAGATGTGCGTATGATGTAAGTAAGAGATTCATTCATAAAACCGTGTATAGACAGCTTTGCTGATTATAAGGGGAGTTTTTGAGAGTGCTTAAACTTACGCTATACTGAAGTTAGTCATAATGTTCTTTGACAATGTAAATGTTCTTTGCTCGCTTTCTCTGTATAATTTATTCGCTGTTTGAATAAATTAATTTAATGATAAAAACAGAAGATTTGTGCTTTTGTAAAATAAAGCAGACAAACGGAATGCACGTTGTCATCCTTTTCTTTCCGTGAACTTGTTTATGGAGCAGCCAGATATATTTCGCTTTTTTTTTTTTTTATGAAAACAAATTGTTATTTTTATTTAGGCCTATTGCTTACATAGGCTATACATGTTCCTTAAAGCATCCCATTTTGTCCCAGGGCTTGAAAACCTGTGCCCTAGACTAGTTAGGTCCTGCAGAAACTTTCTCTTAATTGTGGCATCACCGTTTAGTGACATCATTGAATGCTCCGTCAGTGTCGGTCACAGTGCCTTTTAATTGTACTTACGTTATCCCAAAAGTTCCCAAGGATTTGTAAATCCTGAGAAATTTATATTTTAAATAATGGCTCGTCCCTGGTCATTGTCGCCTATCAGTGACATAATATCCGCACTATCCTCAGTTTCCGCTTGTAGAAACTATGGCAACAGACAGACACAAATGCTGCTGTACAGTTGAACTAAATCCATTATGGCTGTTGCGAGTAAAATGAAAATGAAATTAAAAAGTGTTGACCGCAGCATTAAACTGAGATCTGCTCAATGTTGCGCCATGATTCTTTTTACGCGTTGTTACAGTGATGCGCATTATAACCAATCACACATGAATCTTTTGAGCTTATAAATGGAATGACCAATCAGAGGCGTTCAGATTAGTTTTTTGTTTGGTGCACGCGCTCGCTGACTGAATTCAGCTCTCACATGAATTCTCTCATCTTAAACAACAAAGTGCAGATGTGCGTATGATGTAAGTAAGAGATTCATTCATAAAACCGTGTATAGACAGCTTTGCTGATTATAAGGGGAGTTTTTGAGAGTGCTTAAACTTACGCTATACTGAAGTTAGTCATAATGTTCTTTGACAATGTAAATGTTCTTTGCTCGCTTTCTCTGTATAATTTATTCGCTGTTTGAATAAATTAATTTAATGAAAAAAATATATTCATCACCTCATCCATGAACATCCTCCTTCATAGTGTCATCAAGCTTCGCCTTTGTTATTGTTTTGAAAATGCGACCTCTAGCGGCAACATATTGTGCTTTTAATACATTTTTAAGATCAAAACTTGTATCTTTTAACATTAATGCTCTATGATCTAAACATGAACATTTATTCAGTAACATTAACAAAGTAACATTAGGTAGTCCATGTTTACGGAAGAGGATTAGGGCCAAGCAATAATAACAAAATAAAACCATCTCAAGATTAAAGTCATTATAATACGAGATTAAACTCGTTACATTTCAAGAAAAATGTCAAAATAAAATGTTGAGATTAAACTCATTAAATTTTGAGAATAAAGTCGTTATGTATGGAAGAAAAATAATGCCATATGTCTTTGAAACAAAAAAGCCATTTTAATAAATTATTATTTATTATTATTATTATTAATTATTATTATCAGCTTTTCCACATGTTTATACTGGCCCCAATAATCAAAACTTCTTATGTTTTAAGATAAAAAAAAAAAGTCTAGATAAAATGTTGAGAATAAACTCATTAAATTACGAGAAAAAAGACATTACATTTTGAGGAAAAAAAGTAAAGATAAAATGTTGAAAATAAAGTCATTAAATTACGAGAAAAAAGTCGTTAAATTTCACTTAGTGTAAATGTCTATTGAAATGTAGGCTATTATATGTGGCCTGCCAATCATAATTTACAAATCCTGCAGTTTCACAATGTCAACACAAGGTGAGAGCACTAAATTTTAGGTCAGATGTATCGGTAAAACGTGAGTGACAATAATTCATTACATTTATATAGCACTTTTCTAGGCACTCAAAGCGCTTTACATTGTCAGGGGGTATCTCCTCATCCACCACCAGTGTGCAGCATCCACCTGGATGATGCAACGGCAGCCATAGTGCGCCAGAACACCCACCACACACCACACACCAGCTTATTGGTGGAGAGGAGACAGAGCGATGAAACCAATCAGTAGATATGGGGATTGTTAGGAGGCCATGATGATCAGAGGCCAATGGGCAAATTTGGCCAGGATGCCGAGGTCACACCTCTACTCTTTTCGAAAGACATCCTGGGATTTTTAATGACCACAGAGAGTCAGGACCTCCGTTTAACGTCGCATCTGAAGGACGGTGCTTGTTGACAGTATAGTGTCCCCATCACTATACTGGGGCGTTAGGACCCACACAGACCACAGGGTGAGCACCCCCTGCTGGCCTCACTAACACCTCTTCCAGCAGCAACCTAGTTTTCCAAGGAGGTCTCCCATCCAGGTACTGACCAGGCTCAGCCCTGCTTAGCTTCAGTGGGTAACCAGTCTTGGGCTACAGGGTGATACGGCTGCCAACAATACAACAATTTGATAACTCATATGTGCTGTCTTTAGTGCACTAAAAGCAGTACAGCACTACCCATTATTAGCTCTGCCTAAAGACAGCGCAGCGCAAAGACAGAAGAAATGTGTTTACTCTCTGACAGGTCTAGATCAGGCAACTCGATCAGGGTAACTTTTTTAAAATTGGTGATGGTGTTTAAGATATTAAAGAAAATGGTTCCAAAGTATCTGTTGGAATTTGATGTATTTGTAAGAGAGGTCCACTGTCATTCTACAAGGGCGAGTAGTAATGATATACTGTATATCCTTGTAGGTTTAAGAGTGAAATGGGAAAATAAATATTTTTTATATACTAGCTCTGTTGCTTGGACTAAATTACCTGGGTGTATTCAAGAGATACAAGTTGATAGTATTTTTAGAGGGGAAGTTAAAAAATGGTTGTTTTATCATTGATGTTTTGAAGTTTGTGTGGTGAGTTTCTGAACTTGGATGTGGATAGCACTCCATTTATGATTTATTCGTCCATTTTTTTTAAATACAGAGGACCACAATGGAAATAAGCCAAAGGCTTTTTTGTGTATTTTATCCTCGACAGTTTTGAAATGTGTATGAATTAGTCTTTGTGGACTTTTTTGTATTATGTTTTCAATTTTGTCAAATAAAACAAACAAACAAACCACTAAACAGAGCTGTAAGAAGTGTTCGAGTTTGGAGCAGAGTTCTCCGATACAAACCTCAGACTCTGCTGTGATTTAAACACGTTTAAAGGCAGATGAAACAGCGCTGCAATTCTCAACAACATTGACGCAGAAAACAGGAGAAACACTGCAACAACAATCCAATTAGATTACTTTTCAATCCACAAATCAATATTTACAATGGATTTACTGTAGTAACACTTAACCTGCCTAATTAATACATTATTATTAAACACTCGTTAAGCAATTGATTACCACTTTTCCGATGTGATATGTGATGAGAAAAGGAAGAAAGGCTCGGCTAAAGACGGTTTCAAACCCTAGTCGATCGCATCACACGCTATGTCTCAGCGCATTACTCTCCAACCTTCGCCACTGCAGATGCTATTTGACTTTGTCCAACGAGATGAAATGAATGACACGAGTGTGCTTATTCTCTACTTTTTTCTCGAAATTTAACGAGTATTTTTCTCGAAACACAACTTTTTTTCTTGTAATTAAATGAGTATATTCTCAACATATAATTTCGACTTTTTCTCGAAATTTAACAACTTTTTTCTTGTCATTTAATGACTTTATTCTCAACATTTTATTTAGACTTTTTGCTCGGAATTTAATGAATTTTTTTTTTCTCGAAATTTAACAACTTTTTTCTTGTAATTTAATGACTTTTATTATAACTCGTGTTTTAAAGCGAAACACACTGGAATGAACAATTCACTTAAAACGCAATGCGAGTCTCTGTTCTCCCTGCGATCTCTGATGTAATCAGCCTGGGTTCCTATATATTAGCGCTGTCTTGGACGGATTGTTTGAATGCATTCGCTTACTGGATCATTGGACTGAAAACTTTCCTGGAGTTTAGCGGCTT